AAGCTATATACATAAAACAGTTGAAACCTAACCATAACATAATAAACTATAAACACTCCACAAATATACTTAAATGCCAATAATTGATAACAGGAGCCATTGGTTTATACCAAACGCTTCCCATGCTTAACACTTCTCGTTTTCACTCTCGCGTGGTTATGTGCCATGTGATGCGCCGCGATGCTATTTTCGCTCCCAGCGTCTCGTATGCACAATTTTGTCATTGCTTGGAAATCTTTCATGCAAGCAAAACAGACAATCATTGTTACTATATCCGTGTATTGTTTAATTTATTGTAATGTACTTGTCATCTCTGATGATGGCTTATGTAAGCCGAAATCTTAGATAGGATTAAAAAAAAAAACATGTATCAATATGGTGATTTTCTTTCGTATTTAAATAATAATATTATTAAGCTTATCAGACGATATGAAAGAATTTGCTTAAAATAAAACAAAAAAAACTGTCTATATTATTTAATGAAACATGCATTAATATATATATATATATATAGGTGTGTTTGTGTGTGACACAAAGGATTTGTTTTGCAAATTCAATACGTCCAAGACCAAACTAGTAACGTTCTATCCTTTCCAAGCGGATCTGGAACTTACACTTATGATGGATGAGTATCCTCTCAAGGAGGATCCTTGTCTTGAATGTCTATTGGGACTCAGTTGCTCCTCAGATCTCAATTGGAGCTTATATATCCGATCTTTTTGTAAGGATACAAGAAAGAATGCTTGTTTCATTGTACCTCTCCAGTAAGTATCTGATTCCACTTCCTATAATCATTTACAAGAAACACTTGTTGCCATACATGGGATGGGGCTATCCAGTACTCACTAGCCTGTTTCAAAAGGGTCTATGAGGCCTTGTAGGTGATGAATTACATTACAAGGCCTTTCCAAAAAAAAAAAGGTTGCGAGCCTCACGTTATTTCCATTGTATGTGTTCTGGCCATCTAGATTCCCTTCGTCCTACCACGCAGGACCTTTAATACTGGAACCCGTACAAAAAAGTGAATGATCACCATTTCCTTGAGATGACAATAGTCAGAAAGCGAGTTCCATTAGGATAGCTTCTTTCCAAGATCTGCCGATTTGTGGAGTACGCTACAATAAAGGGTGCTTTCGCAATTACTACAAACCTGACCTCTTGAAGTCTACAGCTGACCCTTATCTTTCCCCCATAACCACATGACATTCACTTCTTTCGCTCTTTCTTACGCTCTTGTGCGACACTTGGGCCTTATACTGAGAGAACATTAGCATAACGAAGTGAAGCTCGTTACAATTGTACATTGAGAAACGGTGAAAATACAAGATTGCTTAGCTTTAAATTTAGATTCTAGTTAACTGTTATGGCAATTTATCCACGCACGCATAGACTCTACCAGCTATAAATAGGAGCAGGTACTGCCTTTTGGAGAGGGAAGTTTTCAGCAATCAGCTTTGACAGTCGACCGGAACATTCTTGCTGTAACACTCACGCTTGTATATGTTTCTATTACTGTTTTTGTTGATATATTTAACTCAATTCCCTTCTTAGTGTCCTTATTTCTGTCCCTAACAAGGCCAGAGAAGGCAAGAAGTAAAGCATGTAGCAACATCAGCACGGCAAAGGCTACTCCTTTAAAGGTAAGGAAGGGCAAAAATATTTTAAGTCAAGTGATAGCGATTGCTGTATGAGTCGTACGATTTTTGAATCAAGCACGGGCAACGCCGGGCCATGCTGCTAGTCTTGCATATTTATGAATCTAACCGTATGTGGTCTGGTGCTCCTGCGATTCATGTTGTGGACAAAATCCAAAGAAAGTTCTGTAACGCAATCGATCCTAACCTGGCTTTTTAGATTTCAGTCACTTTCTCACCGACTTGATGTGACTTCCCTCTGTCTTTTCTTTTCTTTAAATATTTCCATATTTTGCAACTGGTCTGACGAGATTGTTTCCCTGGTGCCTCAAATAGAAGAATTTAAGTGAGTTACTAGATTGGCATATAGATCCTATCCGTTTATTGTTGAAATAGCTAAATACAACCTATTCCGACAATTACTTTTCTCGCACTTCCCGCCTGCGAAACTGCTTTCCGTTTATTTGCTTCGGTAATAACTACAATCTTCAAAAATTTAAAGGCAACGTCATTCGAAATCGTTTATCAAGGTCCGACAATTTATTTATTAAAGACATTTTTTTTTTTAAATAAATAAATTGTAGGACCTTGTCCATTTCTTAATATATGACGTCATTTGTTTACATTCGATACGCCAGAGCAGTTATGAATGTACGAGATTCATGGAAGATTGGAGTTTATAAGCAGTAAATTCGACCTTGTCTACCGAACGGTTCTTTGTAGCCTAGAGGTAAGGCACGTCAGCGTATATGACGGTTCCGTAGCAGGTTCGAATCCTGTCAAAGAACGAATATTTTCTATGAAAATTTCTCGGACATTCAGGCCGGTAAATGTTATTTAATACTGTTTATCATAAACAGAGCATTTGCTTAAATACTTGTATCTATAAAATAACAACGTTAAACATAAAAAAATGTCTTTAATAAATAAATTGTCGGACCTTGTCCATTTCTTTATATATATTATACACTTTCACATTATAACATGTAAGTAACATTTTGTTTCGACGTTTAAATAAAACGTCTCTTCGGGTAGTTAACAATGATGGTAATAAACGAGCTTATTTAAAATTGCAATTTATGAAACATCACTTCATTTTTCGTTTTTGGAAAATTTTCCACAGAAGGTAAAAAATTTTATAAAGAAAATTTTAAATTAATGTTTTCAACGTTCTTTTTTTTTTTCTTAATTCTTTGTATTTTAGAGAAATTTATATCTGCCTTCTTACGTTAGTAGAATTAAATCGGGGTTTGCATGTAAAAAAAAAAGTATAGTATATGTCCATTTAGCTTTAAAGATGATGATTCTTTTTCTTTTTTTTTAGAAGCAAACCTGAAATGAATAATTTGTTTTTAATTTTATTAAACTCCTTTGCCTTTAGGTCCGACATAGTTAGCTAAAATCTCATTACCTCGTAGTAACCATTATTGTCGTCTGCCATTTTACATTACTCAAAATTATCTACATAATCAAAATAATCTCCTCAATCACTCTTTTCTAAAACTACCGAATTATATAAACAAATAAAAGCACAGAAAGTTGGCTGATTTAATTACTTTCTAGAATTATACAGAACCTTTATAGAAGTATTAATACTTCCATACGTATTTGCCCGAATTACTGCTTTTCGTGTAATAATCTAAAAAGAATCTAGCTTCATTGACTCTTCTATACTTCTCTGACCCACGTGCGAAATTTAAGTATTATTCTCAGATTCACTGTATATTCTAAAATGTTAGCGGTTTTTATATCTATTCAGACACGCTATCGGCAGTGACAAAGTACACATGCTCTTCCTCTGCTAAAGGAAAATGTCTAATCACACATGCGCAGTAAAGTCGCTTCCGATTTCTTGGCAAACTACATAAAAATGATATGAGGCTTGTTCTCCAGAATAACTTGATACATTACGAACAGAAGAGTTATATTTTGTAGTGGTTAAGACTGTTACACACTTTGCGTTCGTTTGAATTTGTTAAAGATATGAGCGCCCACTTTGAATGATGGGGAGAAGTAATGATCTTTTTAACTTTAAAATTCAGCGTTTAAAACAAAGGTATGTCAGTCGCCACGTGGATCAAGAAAGCCGATAATTTTCTGCTATATTTTGCTGGGAGAAAATTTTCTTCTTCCATATTCCTTCATTGGTAGTTTGATTATAGAAAGAAGAAAACTTCCAATTTCAACTGATGAAAGAGAGAAAAGGAGAGAGGGATAACGGACGTGCTGACGAAGGTATGAACAGGCATAGATAGATAGATAGATAGATAGATAGATAGATAGATAGATAGATAGATAGATAGATAGATAGAAATAAAGAGAAACCTATGTAATGAGAAAGAGAAAGTATACAGAAAGAAGAGAGTGTGAAAACAACAAAAATTTTTACAGCTAGCTATGCTAGCTAGCTAGATAGATAGATAAATAGATAGATATTGGAGATAGATAGATAGATAGATAGATAGATAGATGATAGAAATAGAAAACAAGTAAAATTGAATAAAAAGAAAAAAAAAAAAGAAAGAAAAAAAGAAAACTGAAAAAATGGATCGAAGAAAAAGAAATTGAATCTTAGAAAGAAAGAAAGAAAAGAAAAAAGAAATTAAGATAGATAGATAATAAATAGATAGATAGAAAAGAAGAAGAAAGGAAGAAAGAAAGAAATAAAAAAAGAAAGAAATGGAGAAAAAGGGAAGAAATAAAAAGATAATTTAAAAGAAAGAAAGAAAGAAAGAAAGGAAGGAAGGAAGATATATAAGGAACATTAAATTTTAGAAACCTTCTAAATTGAAGATAGATAGATAGATAGATAGATAGATAGATAGATAGAATAGATAGATAATATGAACATATTGAAAGATAGATTATAGAAAGATAGATAGATAGAAATAAAAAGGAAGAAAGAATTGAATAAATTTGATAAAATAATATATATATATATATATATATATATATATATATATGACAGATAGATAGATAACCTCAATTTTTCCTAAGTTCTTTGCGTTATAAAAATTGAAGAACTCATATTTGAATTCTTTTCTCTTTGACATTGCAAAGCTATTCAACTTGCTTTGTATATTTCACAAAGGAATTTCAAATTCGAAATGAAACAAAAATCTATTTCGCTATGAGTCAACTTTTGACCTCAGTTATTACGAACTTGGATAAATAGAGAGATCAGATCAGGATAGATAGATAGATAGATAGATAGATAGATAGATAGATAGATATGATGAGGAGAAGATAGATAGATAGATAGATAGATAGATAGATAGATAGATAGGGACGGCCTTAGATATAAACTGATTTATTTCATGTGGGGCAACAAAGGAAAATTAGATTTTACGTGAATAAGGCGATCAT